CAGCAACAGCAGCAACAGCAGAAACAGCAGCAACAACAACAGCAACAACAACAACAGCAGCAGTAACAACAGCAACAACAACAACAACAACAATTGCGGTGTGTGAATAGTATGTACAAGCTCCAAAAAAAAAAATCAAGCTACCACGCTATACGCGGTGCTAATGTACTGGTATTTATGTGGATAAAGTAAAGTAAAGTTGTTCCCGCATCCGATCCGGACATTGGGGGTTGCCTTGTTAGTGAGACAACATTCCAGGCCTTCAGCATATTATTGTGGTAGGGTAGCCAGTTCCTTTCCACGCTACATTTAACTCGCCAACTAAATGTATGTGGATACAGTAGTAAAAAAAAGACTCAACATTTCACTGTGACAATGTAGCGACCATCACTGGCGTTTGAGTGTTGGAATAAACCGACACTCTTTTAATCGAAACATTACTGCAATAGTTCTGATTGGCTCTGATTGAGTTTTAAGTATATGTTTAGGACACTGCTCTTGTTGTGTTGCGGCTGCTGCAGCAGCAGCTGTTATTAATGTCACTGTGTTTAGTGTTGAAATAAAGCTGTTGTTAATGTCACTGTGTTAAGCGTTGGAAAAAAGCTGTTATAAATGTCACTGCGTTTAGAGTTGGAAAAAAGCTGTTGTTTATAGTATTGTATTTAGTGTTGAAAAAAAGCTGTTATTAATGTTACAGTGTTCAGTGTTGGAAAAAGTTGTTGTTTATAGTATTGTGTTTAGTGTTGAAAAAAAGGTTTTGTTAATGTCACTGTGTTTAGTGTTGAAAAAAGCGGTTGTTAATACTATTGTATTTAGTGTTGAAAAAAAATGCTGTTGTTAATGTCACTGTGTTTAGTGTTTTAAAAAATGATGTTGTTAATGTTACTGTGTTTGTTGTTACTGTTCTCGTTGTTACAGCTGTTTTGCTGAGAGTGCTGCTGAGGATGTAGTTGATAATTCTGTATTTATAAGAATTCTTCTTGTGTCTGCATACACAAGACAACGCTAATTTTTCATCCCAATACCCCCATCACCACCCTCAATCCCCATCCCCTTCCCCATCCCCATCCCCCATCCCATTTTCATCCCCTACCCTCATCTCTACCCTCAATCCCTATCCCATTACCCATTCCCATCCCTATCTCCACCCCCGCCCTCAATCCCCACCCCACTCCCATACCCCCACCTTCACCCCTCCCCTCCCCAATCCCCACCCCCACCCAACCCTGTCCT